GTGTTATGCGGGTGGTATGCGGGTGGTATGCGGGTGGTATGCGGGTGGTATGCTGGTGGTATGCGGGTGGTATGCGGGTGGTATGCGTCTGCTATGCCGGTGGTATGCGTCTGCTATGCCGGTGGTATGCGGCTGCTATGCTGGTGGTATGCGCCTGCTATGCTGGTGGTATGCTGGTGGGCTGCTATGCTGGTCTTATGCGCCTGCTATGCTGGTGGTATGCGGCTGCTATGCTGGTCTTATGCGCCTGCTATGCTGGTGGTATGCGCCTGCTATGCGCCTGCTATGCGCCTGCTATGCGCCTGCTATGCGCCCGCTATGCGCCCGCTATGCGCCCGCTATGCGTCTGCTATGCGGCTGCTATGCGGCTGCTATGCTGGTGTATGCCGTGGCTGGTGTATGCCTGGTGGTCGGCCCCCTCTGCCGCAGCCGCGGCGCCCACGCCGCGCCCACTTTGGCACCAGGGGAGAGGCGCCCGCTCGCCGCGCCCGCCGTCGAGGCCCCAGCCCGTCCCCCCGGCCGATGCCGCGCAAGGTCAGCCACAAGAAGAAGGCGGCGGCGTCGGCGTCGGCGCCGCCGGCCGCGGAGAAGAAGGAGGAGAAGGAGGAGAAGGAGGAGGACCGGCCCGACGAGCACCCCTTCAAGGTCGGGTCCTGGCTCGTCGTCACGTGGCAGCCCGACGCCTCCGAGCGGCTCTGCACGATCATCGAGCGCGCCAAGGTCGAGGACGCGGAGCGCATCACGCCGAACACGATCAAGGCGTCGAAGGCGGACCTCGACGCGCGCGACGACGGCCTCTGGCGCTACTACGTCCACTACGCGGACTTCAACCGGCGCATGGACGAGTGGGTCAAGCCGGAGCGCGTCGCCCTGAAGCCGTCCGCCGCGGGCGCGCTCGCCAAGGCCGAGGGGAAGGACCAGCCGCACCACGGCGGCGGCCACGGCGCCGCGCCGCGCGACGACGACGGCGGCGGCGGCGGCGCGGAGGCGCCGGGCGACGCCGACGCGCCCCACGTCTTCGCCGGCGGCTCCGGCGCCCTGGCCTTCGGCCCCGCGCGGAAGCGGCGCAAGGCGCCGGACCCCGGCGCGCCGACGTCCGTCGACGACATGGAGCGCGCCGCCGCGCCGGAATCGCGCCTTCGAACCGACGCCGACGCGCGCGCGCTCGGACGCCTCGTCGCGAGCGCTTCGACCGCGCCTCGAGACCTCGAGGAGCGCCCTCGATCCGTCCGACCGTCGCTCGAAGCGTCGATTCGACCCGAGCGCGGGCGTTTCGGAGCTCGGCCGCGCCGCGCCGCGCCACGGCCGATTTCGGCGCAGGCACGACGAGCACGAGGGCCTCGACGAGGCGTCGCTCCGGGAGCACGAGGAGGTCACCAAGGTCAAGAACGTCGGCGTCGTCGAGCTCGGCCGCCACGCGATCGAGACGTGGTACTTCAGCCCCTACCCGAAGGAGTTCTACCCGGGCGGCTACGTCGACGCGCTCTACGTCTGCGAGCACACCTTCGCCTTCTACCGGTCGCGGCGCGAGCTGCGGCGCGCGTCGGCCCGCCTGGGCGCGCGGCGGCCGCCGGGCGACGAGATCTACCGGAGCGGCGAGGTCGCCATGTTCGAGGTCGACGGCGCGACCCCGGCGTCCCGCGCGCGGCTCGACGTCGCCTCGACGCGAGCGCGGCGCGATCGACCGCCGCGCGGCGCCCCCCCCTCCGCCGAGGACGCGCCGCGCGCGCGCCGACGTTTCTCGGAGCGGCGCGCGACCGGGCGCGCGCGCGTCCGACGGCGGCGCGATCCCGCGCGCGCGCCAGGCGCGGACCACGGCGAGTACTGCCAGAACCTCTGCTACTTCGCCAAGCTCTTCCTGGACCACAAGACGCTCTACTACGACGTCGACCCCTTCCTCTTCTACGTGCTCTGCGAGCTCGACGACCGCGGCTACCACCCCGTCGGCTTCTACTCCAAGGAGAAGTACTCGGAGGTCGGCTACAACCTGGCCTGCATCCTCGCCTTCCCGCCCTACCAGCGCAAGGGCTACGGCCGCTTCCTCATCGCCTTCTCCTACGCGCTGAGCGTCAAGGAGAAGAAGGTCGGCGCGCCCGAGAAGCCCCTGTCGGACCTGGGCCACATCGCGTACCGGAGCTACTGGGCCGCGACGCTCCTGGGGGCCCTGTCGAAGCTGCCGGCCGACGCGCCCCAGATCTCCGTCATGGAGCTGTCCAAGGCGACGTCCATCATGGCCGACGACGTCGCGGCGACGCTCCAGTACCTCGGCGTCGTGCGCACGGTCGGCGGCGTGCCCGTCGTCTGGTGCCCGCCGGACGTGCTCAAGGCGCTCATCGCCAAGCACCCGGAGAAGCCCCCCTTCGTCCACGTCGACGACCTCCACTGGACGCCCTTCTACACGGACGTCAAGAAGGACAAGTTCTCCATCCGCGCGAAGCGCCCGACGGCCGAGGGCGGCCTCGTCGACTCCTACGCGTAACGGACGCGCTCCGAGCGTGCTTAGGGGGGCTCCGAGCCTAGAGCGCCGCGGGGGCCGCGGGGTCGGGGGAGAAGACCCAGGGCGGCGACGCGGGCGTCCGCGGCGTCGCGGCCTGGGCCGGCGACGCCGCGGTCGCCGCGGGCGGCGGCGACGGCGCCGCGGGCGGCGGCGGCGGGGCCGGCGGCCGCGGCGGCGGCGCGCGCGCCGCGCGGCGGCCGCCGCGCGCGGCGGCCGCGAGG